TATTGCTTATTGTCCTGTCCTCAGGTGCTTTGAAGAATAGGACAGTTCTCTGTGACAGGGCTTCATGTACTGGAAGATAGCCATAATGTCACTCTTAATCCTTCTCTTTGTCAGACTAGACAATCAATCAGAATAGAGATGGAAGGGATCTTGGAGGTCTTCTAATCCAATCCCCTGCTCAAGTAGGAGAGCCTATACCATTTCAGAGAAGTCTCTGTCCAGTCTCTTCTTAAAATCCTCCAGTGATGAAGCACCCACAACTTCTGAAGGCAAGCCGGTCCACTGGTTCATTGTCCTCACTGTTAGGAAATTTCTCCTTAGTTTCATTCTACTTTATTGTAAGGTTACGGTAACAGAATCTTGTTCTTATTTTCAAAACCTGCAAATGAAAGGCTAATATGCATTTCACATGGCTTCTAGTTTGGTGTGTAGTTCAACATGAACTTGGTAGAGCAAGAATCATGAATTTTTTATACCCCAGGGCAGCCAACCTATTCTTTTTGTCTTCTTTTTCCGCTTTCTCCTTTGAGCGGGAACAGAATTTGGAACTAGGAGAAAACCTTTTTAGCAGATTCAAGTGGTCTTCAAAGCTTAGTATCTCATTAGTGAAGAAGAAGTGGAAAATTGGGATGAATAGTAGCCCTGTTCTTGACATCCTTGATATGATTTCCTATTGCGTTATTTGGGATGCGACCCTTTCTTCTCTCTTCTTTAAAAATGCAATTAGCTTAGTTATTTGAAAGAGTTGGTTGTTCCTCTGGTTTCAGAAGCCTTGAAAAGGGGTTTTATCAAGAGGACTCCTTTCACAGTCATTTGGTAAGTATACAAAAGAAATCGGCTTGTATCAGAAAACCAAGATTATAACTGAGCAATTTTAGGAGCAGGCCATCTGTGAGAAAGCAGGTCAAAAAAGTCAAGATGGCAGCCGCTGTCATGCTGTCAAGGTCACGACCTTTCTACTGTGCACACTGCGTAAAGTAGTGGAGCATCCATTGTGCAACTGCGGCTGCGATTTTCCCTTTTTTTTTTTTGACATTCTTGTTGAGCAACCTGGTGGAGGACAGGTAGATGTGTTTGTGGTTTGGGTTCTCCTTTGATGCCGAAGAATTTGCAGATCGGGGAGGGGAGCTGAGCCCCAGTGGAGAAAGTCTCTTTCAGATCAAGGCAGTGAGCTAAAATCCCAGAGAAAACAATTAACTTCAATCAAGCCTTCATCTGGCCCAGATGGAACCCTCAACTGCAAAAATAAAAATAAAAAATTAAATATCAGTCTATTTATGGCAAGAGCCTTAAAATAGCTGTAACATTTCCCTGGCTCGTCCCTTGGGCTTTACGCATCTTTGCCTGAATTATGTATGGCTCCCGTTTCATTCGGTCCCCAAAGCTAACCCTTTTCTCTCAAACACGCGGCACTGATTGAGTTGCTAAACTTCCCAGAAAAAAAGAAAAAAAGGAAAGAAAAGGGAGATGAAAGAGGGAAAAATAATCACCATATGCAGCCCAGCTGTTGATTAATTCGGGCAAATGGAATAGGAATCCAAAATGTTTCGTTCCCAGAGAGAAATTCAGGTAATGCCGGATGCCTATCCAAATGGAATACAATCAATCAGAATAGAGCTGGAAGGGAGCTTGGAGGTCATCTAGTCCAACTCCCTGCTTCAGCAGGAGACTCTATACCTGGGGTAGGCAACCTTGGCTCTTTTATGACTCGTGGACTCCCAGAATTCCTGAGCCAGCCTGGCTCAGCTTGGAAACCTCTCCCTTTCCCCTCAGCGTGGCTGGCTCAGGAATTCTGGGAGTTGAAGTCCACCAGTCATCAAAGATCCAAGGTTGCCTAACCCTGGTTCTAGCCAAACCCAAGTCCCGCAGCTGTTCTTCATATGTTTTAGTCTCCAGGCCTTGGATCATCTTAGTTGCTCTTCTCTAACTCATATTTATGATGGTCACAGAGTCCCGGAGTTGTGTGATTCCCTTTTGCGAACTTCCACCAAGCAAAGTCCAGATTCACTTAACAACCGTGTTACTAACTTAACTAGTAGTGATTCACTGAACAACTGTGGCAAGAAAGGTCACAAAATGGGGCAAAGTTCACTTAACAATGGAAATTTGGGGTTCAATTTTAGGTCATAACTCGAGGACTATCTGTAGATGGCTAGTTAACAACCAGACGGGGGGAGAGAGAGCTTTAGGATGACCGAAACTGGGAAATGGCCGTCTGTGTGTGTCGTTCATGGAAGGCGGCCCTGGTGTCATGCAATTTTATAAGTCGCATTCCCCAAATTGAGGTTAAAATGTTAATGATCTTTTGCATCCAGGATTAATATTCTCCGAGAGACGCTGCAGTGGCTGCCTCTTTTCATGCACTCTCTGTGACTTTTGCACGGGGCGCCAAATCGCAGCCGCATTTCTGGAGGGCTCGGGGGAGTTGCGAGCGTCGTTCAGTCGTCTTCGCAGGGAGAATTAAATCGGGCAAATGGAGGGGAGGGAATAGCAATCAGGAAGACGTGGAGCCCGTTTGAGAAGTGTGGGATTAGGGCCAGAGGCGTCTGGGTGGGTCAAAAAAGTCAAAATGGGGGGGCACCTCTGTGCAACGAACGCCCTGCCCTTTCTATGTGCTTATTGTGAAAGGCGGAAAGGGGGGTGTATGTCAATTCAATTTATATTTGTTATGGCCTTTAACCAGTCAAAGGGCATACCCGCCATCTTGACTTTTTTGCCCTCCTTGAGACACCTCCAGCTTAGACTCTATTTTCCATTAAAATGAAAGCAAGCCTTTTAACATTTTAGCCTTTCCCCCCCAACGGAGATTGAGTTCAGGCAAGTGGGAAGCTACAAGAATCTGAGTCTTTAAAAAAGACAAGGCTAGAATCTAACCAAACCAAACTTAGCAAGTTGCATGTATGCAGACCTCAGGTCTTCCGCTGCCTTGAGTAGGCAGGTTGTGTGAGTTTGCATCACCCGCTAGGCAGGGCAAACATGTGATTGGGTAGTTGTGATGCAGGCTGGGAGAAGCAGGGCACGTCCAGACAAGCACAACCAGAGACAGGCTGAAATGATAAAACACACATTACCCAGAGAACGTAGTCAAGTTTGCATCACAATGTTGCAATTCATGTTTTATCGTATGCTCTTCCCCAATCACAGCCACTCATATGGGCAATCTTTGTGTGTATGTGTGTGTCTGTGAATGTGCCTCTGTGTGTGTGTGTGTTTGTGTGTGTGTGTACGCGTGCACTGAAGCTGATGTGGGTCTTGAACATGGGACAAAATTCACTTAACAAATGTCTCAGCAACAGAAATGTTGGGCTCAAGTGTAGTCGCAACTCAAGGATTACCTGTATGTAACCAACTTCCAGAAAAGACTCTGGATGCATTCAGACATGCATCTCAGCTCACTCAATTTTGAGCCTATTTGCGGGTCTCTCTCTGTAGGACTTTGTGTGTCGTACGCAGCTATCCCCTTTTCTCCCTTGATAATTCAAGCTCTTTTGCAACGACCCCCCTCCACAATGAGTTAATTCAAAGAGCAAGTGAGGTGTCCTGTACCAACCCATCTGCAAGTTAACACTAATAAGCACAAATTAAAACTCTCAGCGATTGCAGCCTTCGCCCAGGAAACGGAATCCCTGCTTTTGATGTTAATTTGCAATGCATTATGTATATATTGATGTTCCAAGAAAAAATACTGCATAATTTGTGTAAAGCTCAGCAGTTTATCTGTACTTCTGCATGATCAGAACCTTGTATGTTGTGTATGTGTGTGTGTTAGTGGCTTGCTTGGCTCAGCGGCTGAGCTCTGCATGCCATTAAACCCTTGTCGGATTTTGTGATTAGTGGTTTGCCTGGGATGTTTTCCTTAATGAGCAAACAGCTGTTCCAGGAGATTTGCCATTCTACCTTTCCACCTCCCGCTGAGTAGCTGTGGTCTCTGGTTTTCTCTCCACCTTCAAGTCAGCCAGTGGAACTCTTTACTGTTTCAGAGGACAATGCAAGTCCTGCAGAAGGACATAATCCGGGCGACAGTTGGCCTGTCCAGACTGCTGTCAAAGATCAGCTGCTTCTTTAGAACATGGAGAATTTATATTATTCCTCTATTTCATTCCTTCATTTAACTGGGTATACCACCGACGATGGAAATTCCTTACAACAAGAACCATGTTAACATCGAGGCATTGAGAGTGGTTCAAATAGCAATTAAAATAAACAAGGAATACAAATAGAATTAATAATTAAAAATTGAAATCAGCAACTAAATGCCTGTAGAAAAAGACGTGCTTTCAAGACTTAACAGAGAGGCAACTCTGCAGGGAATATCTTCCAGAGAGCTGGATTGTGACAGGGAAAGCTTGATCTGGATTTGGCACCAGGCAAGCATGCAGCAACTATGGGGTTACCTTTACCTATTTACCTAGTTGGGTAAGCAAACAGCTACAAAAGACCAACCAAACTCAGAGAGCACCAAGGACCCCATAGTCATTCACCTGTTCCTTCCTCCTTCTCCTCCTTTCTCCTCTCTCCTCCTCCTCTTCCTCCTCCTCCTCCTCCTCCTCCTCCTCCTCCTCCTCCTCCTCCTCCTCTCCGAAAACCCGTTCTCTTCTAGCACAGATGATGTTGCCATTATTGATACATGTTTCTGGTAGTAGCTGACATACCAGCAGAATGGGTCAAGCACTATGTCTCCACATTCACACAGTGTGTTGTTATCTGCTAACAGCCTCCACTTGAGCATATTGGTTTTACTCGTAGGCACTCCAACCTATTCAGGGTACTCTAACAAAGTTACTATATATTTACAAAGATATAAATCTACAAAGTACATTTGGGAATTTGGGGTTCCCAGCTCTTGCTAGAGGACAATTCCCAGCATCACCCACCCACTGCTGGTCACATTGCCTGGGCTGTGACTGATGGGGGTTGTAATTCGGTAACAACTGAATTGCAGTCAGTTTCCCCAAGATCCAAATCTGCAACACCCAGCCTAGTTCTGTTTTGTTTTCCAGGGAGAGATCTGTTCGGTTACGTGTCCTCCCGGGAGCTATGGAGTCAATTGCTCCTTGGCCTGCAACTGCAAAAACGACGGCACGTGTTCCCCAGGAGATGGCTCCTGCTTCTGCAGAGAAGGTAGAGTTTCCTATTCCAATGGCTATCGTGCATTGGTGTCCATCGTGCTTTCACTGAGAATGGTCCAGATCTCCAAAGTTTTCCTGTGGTTTGGGGTTTTGTGCCCCATATTGTTCCTGGCTGCTCATTAAAGTTGATGCACTTTGTGGTTTTCCTTTTTTGCCCTGGCTTAATCCTTCCTCTCTGACCTGGTGCATACTTGTGATTTGATCCATGTCAACAACCTCAAGTCACGGCTTTCAGTTGCCAGCTTGTCCAGGATGGGATGGCACAGAAGCCACGTAGCACCTCCACAGAAATCGCACTGGGTACCAGTAGGTTTCCAGGTGCCATTCAAAATGCTGGTTGGGACCTCTCAAGACCATCAGTGACAGAAAGCACGGCTGTCTGAGGAGTCCCTTCTCCCATCGCTTCTGCGTGGTGCAAGTTCCAGGTCCCGTCCTTAAAGCAGTGCCATCTGATGGGGTCCATGCAGCAGGCCTTCTTCCCTCTGGGAAAGTATCCCCCTTCCATTGCTGTGACCACCAAGAGAGTCACGGCTGAGAGTTGACCTAACGTTCTTTGGCTCTTTGATTTTACAGGGTGGCAGGGAACTGACTGTTCCATTCCGTGCCCGAGCAACACGTGGGGTCTTAACTGCAACCAGACCTGTTATTGTGCCAATGGAGCTGCCTGTGACCCCATGGATGGATCTTGCTTTTGTGGTCCTGGATGGCAAGGGGAAATCTGTGACCAGCCTTGCCCTGTAAGTCTTCCTTGGGTTGGAGAGATATGCTCTTTTCATGGGTGATCCAGGCTTAGATCAGGGAGATAGATACGTGTAATATTTTCAGCACACATTTCTTGAAATCAGTCAGAATAACAGAGTTGGGAGGGACCTTGAAGATCTTCTAGTCCAGCTGGCTGCTCTTCTTCACTCTAACCACTGTGACCCAAGAATGTAGTCAAAAGGGAGACTCAAAAGAAGCTACAGAAATGCCCAACTTTAACATCTAGCTTAGGTGAGAACTCCAGAGATCAGGGACCAAGTAGCTGATGACCTTCCCATCTTTAAATTTGGCAAGAGTGAACTGTGCTCAGGATCCCTCCGGTGTTGGTGGGAGGAAGAACCAGTGCAATGAATGAATGAACAGAACAGAACAAAATTAGTGAGTTGGAAGGGACCTTGGAGGTCTTCTAGTCCAACCCCCTGCTCAAGCAGGAGACCCTATACTGTTCCAGACAAATGGTTGTCCAGTCACTTCTTTAAAACCTCCAGTGATGGAGCACCCACAAATTCTAGAGGCAGGTTGTTCCATTGGTCAGTTGTTCTCACTATCAGGAAATTTCTTCTTAGTTCTAGGTTGCTTCTCTCCTTGTTTAGTTTCCACCTGTTGTCCTGCCTTCTGGTGCTTTGGAGAATAGCTTGATCCCCCTCTTCTTTGTGGCAGCCCTTCAGATATTGGAACACTGTTGTATAGACTCCAGAGAGCTACTACACCAGATAGCTATCAATAGACTAGATCTTTATTTATATATGTATTTATTTGCTTATTTATTAAATTTGTTTGCTGCCCATCTCGCCACAGTGACCCTGGGCGGGTTACAACACTAAAAGCAATAAAACGATACAGACACATATATCCAACTGTAATAAAAATGCAAATTACAAATTATGACTAAAGGATGGGGGGAAGGAGTAGGGTGAGCAGGAGGAGGGAGGGGGATCTGCTATTGGTCCATCAACCACCCCCAGTGTGATACTCCCCCATTGGGGCCCCAAGCCAGCTGGCAGAGTCTTAATTAAGATCTTAATTAAATTAAGATCTTATTTTTTTTTCCAAGCTAGCTAAACTGGTAACAATCGCCACTTCTTGTGCCAATTAGCTCCAGACTGATTAAGCAAAGAAACTAGGCATCAAGATTTTCTGGGAGTCAGACAGAAACATTGCACCTGATTTAAACGTATAATTGTATGCTTAAATCTATAACTCTATTTTCTAGGGTTAGAATAAGTTTGTCTTGGTAGACCTGCATCCACCCATCCTCACTTTTTTTTTTAATTTAATGAAAGGATGGGACATATGGCCTGAACTGCACTGAACGTTGTGATTGTGACCACGCAGACGGGTGTGATCCTTTGACGGGCTATTGCTGCTGTCTTGCTGGCTGGACAGGTAAGCTGGCAGGCTATCAAATGCTTCACCCTCTCGCTCAGTTAGATGCTACGACCTCTTCATTCCTTACTTTAAATCAGGTGTGTCCAACCTGCAGCTCTGGATAGTTAGTACAGGCAGTCCTCAATTTACAACCATTTGTTTTGTGATTGTTTGAAGTTACAACCGCACAGGGGAGAAAAAACGACTCGTGATTGTTTTTCACACACAGAACTGTTGTAGCAGCCCCAGGGTCATGTGATCAAAATTCAGGCACTTGGCAACTGACTCATATTTATAACGGTCGCAGTGTCCCAGGGTTATGTGTTCCCCTTTTGCGACCTTCTGCTAAGCAAAGTCAATGGGGCAGTCAGATTCTCTTAACACCTGTGGTGGCACAGTGGTTAGAATGCAGTATTGTAGGCCAACTCTGCTGACTGCCAAGGGTTTGATCCTCAACAGCTCAAGGTTGACTCAGTCTTGCATCCTTCTGAGTTCGATAAAATGAGGACCCAAATTGCTGGGGGCAATATGCTGACACTGCAAACTGCTTAGAGAGGGCTGTAAAGCACTATGAAGTGATATCTAAGTCTTAAGTGCTATTGCTATTTTGAGGCACTGCCCCCTTCCCCCTAAACCATAGCCAGGACAAATTGCACAAGCTAGCCAACTGTGCTGATTTTCCCAGTCCAGTTCCAGCTTCTCCAAGCTTGGAACTTGGTTTCACTTCTAACTGTGCCAGTACTTTGTAGCCAATAAATATGTTCTTTAAGAAAACCTCTTGCCTTGGAGTTCTGCTTTGACTGATCTCATCTGTCGGAACCATGACATCTGTTCTGCAACCCAGACCTGGGTGTTACTTCAGATGTAAATTTTCCCATCGTTCTTCAGCCAGTCCTCTTGTTTGGACCGTCACACTCTGGCAGGCTTGAGAAAAGGAGTGCGTGCTCTTATTATTCACATTTTATGGGTCAGGATGGAGAGGAAGATCATGATTGAGGCGGGAAGCATTTGCTGGCCAAGGGTCTCTTTATTTTCAAGAGTCTGGCAGTTTCTGCCATTCACAGCCTTATTTTTAGAAAGGTCACTGCAGCTCCAGTGCTGCAATTAGAGAATCACACTGAGTAACAGCTGTGTGAGCCAAGATGAAAAACTCTTTCTGGGGAAGAAGTTGGCCACTTTTCTTGAAGCTCAAGGTAGGATGCAATCTGGATTGTGCATCCAAAGTCTCGAAATGGGGGCTGGCCTGTTATGGACATTGTACACCCTTCTCTCTCTTCTCCCTTGGCTGATGGGCTTCACACTGGGGCAGGGGTCTTCTGAGGAACCAAGGAAATGGTTGGAATCTTCCCAAATCAGAAGGCAACTTTGACCAATAATCACAGAAGGAAGAGGAGGAAAAATGGAGGAACAGGATAATATTACTTTGCTTAGAAACTGGTTGGATCTAAAACTGCCAGAAACATAGTCTGGGCAATATAAAGTTTGTTAGGCCAGCAGAATTTTGCTCTGATCCTCTTGATGGTTGGCTTGACTGGCAATCACCACTTAAGAAGTGTGGTTTTGGAAAGAATAATAATAATATCTGCAAGAAATATCATCTGCCTGCAAGCAAGAACTAGTAGAACCATGCTAGGCAAAGTAATAGAAAACGAAGAAGCTGAAGTGCTCTGGGACTTTAGAAATCAAACAGACAAACACTTGCAACAATTCTTAATAAGAAAGACCAAAAAACGTCTGGATGGCAGTATAGAGACAACAGAACAGAAAAGAAAGAACTGGAGAAAATAGAAAAATATAAAGACCTGCAAATAGAAGTAGACTGACTCTGGCAAAAGAAAACAAAGTACCAATAGTGATAGGCGCCTTGGGTGCAATCCCAAAGCATCTGAATCACCACTGGAACACCAACAACATTGACAAAATCACCATCAGTCAATTGCAAACGGCAGTTTACTTAGGACTCAATAGGTAAATTAAAATGCCATATTCAGTCTGAACATCTGACTGACTGAGCAGCCAACCATAATAATATACTATTGGGTTGATAAAATCAGCATCGGTCAATTGCAAAAGGCAGCTTTACTCGGAATAGCTTACATCCTGCAATGACACCTCTGACACCATCAAACATCCACATCTGCCTATTCCAGTCCTTGGGAAGGACTTAATAGGTCGATAAAAATGCCAAATCCAGTCTAAACATCTGGCTGACTATAAGATGAACAATGATAATAATGTATCAAATTTATATGCTGCATAACTGCCAGTTCATGTAAAACTTTGCTTCTGTGATACAATTGTTCATTGTACATGTTCAGACCCCAAACTCTTTATGATCTTTGTTATTCTTCTCTATACTCTTTCTAGGGAAGACCTAGATCTGTGTTTCTCAACCTTGGCAATTTTAAGATGGGTGCACTTCAACTCCCAGAATTCCAAAGTTGAGAAACACTCACCTAGACGATCCCTTGCAATCTTTTTAGGGCCTCAGCATCTTTTTTGCATTGCAGTGACAAGATAAAAAAACTGGTCAAGAAATTCAGTAGTTCAGCTTTTCTTAACATGTTCATTTTTTACAAACAAGGTTTATTTTCTAAGCACGGAGAAGCATTCAAGCTTACATTTCCTATTTCCTTCCCTCTGAAATGGTGCAGCACAAGCAATTCATAATATTGTTCAACAAATATTTAGTTTGATTCTGAAATTTGCCAGCCTGTGTTTTTGGGGGGGAAATAAATCAAATCGCTTAAAAAGCCGTATGCAAATGATTTCTCATTTAGCTTCCCCTGTTTGCAAAGTTTACAATCAAAGAACTTTCTGGTTTGTGATTGCTAATCACATGGATTAAAAATCAGAGTCGGATGTTTGATTTTAGTATTTACTGTTTGAACTTGAGGACCGGATCCTCCTGTCCATTTCACAAATTAGGCCTCGTAAATTTTGAGGAACGGATTTCTCAGAGGGAAAAGTGGAAGGCATTGAAAGGGTCCTGAATTTTGAAACTAATTAGATGTGGCCTAGAAAAGATCAGAAAAAAAAGCTTGGACTTTGGAGGCCTTCACTTATGGGATGAGGACAATTTGGGCATTCACTGATCGTAGTGGCTAATGAAAATCTGATCTAAAAAAGTTATTCTGTATGTTCATCTTCACACATGGGACTTCCATTGATGTCACTTCTGTGCCGCAGATCAAAGAAAAGGGAAATAACTGCACAGTTTGAAAAGCAAGTTATCAAGATGTTGCTTATTTAAAAAAAACCTCCGAGGGGAAATAACATGAATGAAGTGAGCAGGGGGGTGGGGAATAGAAAGCAGGAAGAAGGATGGAAGAAGGATTGTGGGCTTGTGTCTCGTACACTATTTCCACGTTCGGCTTTTCAGTTGGAGTCCACCACATCCCTCGCTATTGTTGAGCCAAGTCACGAGAGATTTTAATCACATCTGTGGGCAAAGAGGAGGATTGGCAGCTGGTTTACACAACATGCTTCACGTAAGGGCTGAGTAAACCCAATTTGGAAAGTTGAAAAAGATGTTGAATCATCAAGTAACCAGATGGTTGCATTGAGCAACCCACTGAAGCACACACAGAAAACTCCAAACCCAGATTAAAATGAATTAAAGTTAGTAGGCGTACGGTGCAGGTGTTGGGACTTTAAATAGTATATGCCTTGTGTAAATCCAGCCAATATGTGGCTTCGGGGTATCCACAGGGAGGGGGTCAAAAAATTGGTGACCCAACTATGATGTACATAAGAATGGGGGGGAAGCATTGATGGCATGGCAGTAACCACCATCTTGACTTGTTTAACCTCCTCCCTTCCCCCATGGATATCTAGTGTGGTTTTATTTTATTTATTTATTTTGCCTTAGGGGCCTTAAAATAATAGAGTAACTTTTGAAAGGTAGTTTGATTACTTTGTTCCTTAGAACATAGAACATGGAGTTATAAGCTGGAAGGGACCTTGGAGGTCTTCTAGTTGAATCCTCTGTTCAGGCAGGAGACCCTATACCATCCTGGTTCAATAGCTGTCCAATCTCTTCTTCAAAACCTCCAGTGATGGACCACCCATCACTGGGTGGCAAGCCTTTTGTCAACTCTACAATGAGATGGCTGCAGCCACTGCTTAATTGTTCTCACAGTCAAAAAAATTCTCCTTAGTTCTAGGTTGGATCTTCCTTTGACAAACCTCCACCTATTATGTCTTTTCCTGCCCTTTGGTGCTTTGGAGAAAAAGTCCACCCCTTCTTCTCTGTGACAGCCCTTCAAGTACTGGAAAACGGCTATGATATCCCTCACTAATTCTTCTCTTTGATAGGCTGGACATACAGTACCTAGCTCCCTCAACCATTCGTTATACAATTTACCCTCCAGACTTCTTATTATCTTCATTGCTCTTCTCTGCACTCTTTGTAGGGTCTCAGCATTGTTGTCTGCTAGGAATGGCATGATGGCCTAGAGGTGAAGATGCTCGCCTCCCACTTGGAAGGTTGAGAGTTCAATCCTAGGTAGCAGCAGATATTTCTCTCTCAGGGCGCAAAGAAAAAAAAATCTGCTGCGAACTCTGTGTAGGTGTTAGGAAGGGCATCTGGTTAGTAAATGCTCAGCTCCATCCAGTCACCTCAACTCCATCCAATACGGACTATAGGGGCGTAAAAAGGGAATCCACCATCTTATGCTCCTTTGGATTTCTACAGCTCTTTGTCCAGTAGCTTTAGCTATAACATGCAATCCCAGATTGAGCTGAAATGGTGGCTGTGAAGTTGAGAAAGATGCTCCATGGCTGTTATCTCTAACAGATAAGACTGGCTTTGAGGGCTGAATGAGGACCAGCCCAAAGCGAGATCTGTGCTGTCACTCAGACACCAAAACAGACATCTTCTCTCTTGTGGCCACATTAATTCAGGAGAACCTGGTAAGAGGAGAACTTTCTGCTTTTGTTACTCAGGGGAGGCCTCTTTGAACTTTGAGAGAAGCAGCGACTTTGACAATCAGCTGGGGGGTATTTTAACTAGGTTT